GATAAAATCAAGAATTCAGCATTATTAATACAATTCATATTCCTGTTGTTAAAAAATGTATTTATTGTCAGAAAGGTTGCTAGTTCGAGCAATAACTAAGACTAGCAAGTTTTCTTTGAGTTGAATTTTTAATATACAGGGTTTAGTCCTGATAATAAATGAATTATAACCAGAAACGTTTAGCCATATTTTATTTACATAGTGAATAAAAAAAGTACAACACAGACCAACACCGGGCTGTTTTATACTTTTTCACACCATTATATTCATTACCCGATTATAATATTACAGTTTCAATTTAAGATTACTGTATAAGCACGAAATAGCATTGAAAAATCAGGTCCTTCGAAAATAACTTATGGTCTCTATTTAGTGCTAATAGGCGTCCCGCATTCTAATTTAGCACAATTTATTATCATGATAAACAATATACAGTCGGCACTTGATGTACTAATTTCCTTGATTGGTTCTACTAATTATTCGCGTATCAGAGTATCTGTGCTATTAATCAATTTTTTAGCATTCCGATAGTAAGTAGGAAAAAATTAGTAAACTCTACATAAATTGATCAGTCTAATGTAATTATTTACTGTACTTTTCAAATTACTGTGATCAGTAATTTTTACATATCACACCAGAAATCAGAAATCTAGAAAAAATACCAATACATAATTGGCTAAAAATTATTTTTAACTAATCACAAATTTGCATTTATTATAGATTTCTGATTCTCAGTGTAATGTATAAAAATCACTAATCGCAATAATTTGAAAAGTACAGTAATATTATGTGTAAATTATTCTCTACAAATAAATATTTTATAAATGCGCTTTTACTTAACAAAGTGCATTTATGAAGGTTAATTTGAAATAACGCATAGGTTAATTAATTACCACACAAGTGGGTGTTATTCACGCTTACACGGTATGACATTGCTTTATTGATCTGGATCTTATAATCACTAGTATGATTCAAAATCACAAGACCAATAAAAAGGTAAAAATTTCAAAAAAAAAAAATCTTGAATATGGCTTGATTCAATCCAGTACCGTGGCTTAAAGCTAAGGCTTAGTGTAAATCTAATCAGTTTGAGCCATGGTTAAATCATTAAATTCAATCCAGAACCATGATTTAAAACCAAGACTTGGCATAAGCATACTATAAATAGAATTAATTTTAAATTAATAATAGATAATGTCAAGAGGAAATCAGACATTGGGCTTAAAAGTTATAATTTAATATTGATAGGATTTTTTTAAGTGCTAAGTTTGGTATAAATATTTTAAAGCCCTGAACCTGATTCTCTTAGCATACAAACCTATTTTTAATATCAATATAGAAGTTATAACTTACTCTTGCCTTAAATTGGGTTCTTAAACCTCAGATATAAACTTTTCAATAAGCCAAGCCAATAACACTTCTATCAAATATAATGTGTGAAAATATAAAAATTTTAAAATAGCTTTGAAATAAAGATAAATATAAAAATACTTCTGTCGCATAGTGCAAAGCCTCAAGATTAAAATAGTTTAGTGATTAGATTAGATAGAATGATATAGAAACTTAATTGTAACAAAAAAATAATAAATAAAAAGACATCTCACCGTTGATTGTAATAGCCACATTGTTCTTTGAGTCTTTATAAAAGCTAAACCTTAAAAGTTTTGAGTTTGTAATTAGAATTTCTCATAATTTCTAGTTCGTCACAAAAAAAACACGTAGCCAACTTAATAATTTTCAACGCAAACAAATTTGTGAATATGCTATCAATAACCTATCAGCGAAACAACAAGATATCACCAAAAAGTTTACGCGAAAGTACCCTGAACTAAATCTTGATCGATCAACTATTTTTAAAATATTAAAAAAAAAGAGTCAATATCTGTATCTCGAGGAAAATATTGCTATGCAAAATCGTTACAAAAACAGAGGGCCAAAATTTCCTTTGCTCGAAAGTGCAATGAATATTTGGGTTAGTCAAGTTTCTGCTGCAGGATTGCCTATTTCAGATGAGTTAGTAAAATTAAAGAGTCACAAATTTGGAAGACTTCTTGGCATTTCCGAAGAAAAGCTAAAATTCTCAAATGGATGGATTACTAATTATAAAAAAAGAAATTCCTTACGCAGATATAAGCTTCATGGTGAAGCTGCAAGTGCACCCTTAGAATCTCTATCAGATGAGAGAATAAAGCTTCAACAACTTCTCTCCCAATACGAATTAGAAGATATATACAACGCCGACGAAACTGGATTGTTTTATCGAATGCTGCCAAATCAAACACTAGCAAAAAAGGCAGTAGCTGAATCAAAAAAAGTAAGAATCCTTTTTTTTCATATACAGAAAAATCTTCAAGTGCATATATACACTATTATACTGATAACTCGGCCCAACCTATAAGAGCATTATATATTTTGCTTACTATAAATGCACGCTCTCTTTAAGTATATGTTTTGCTTTTATTTTACTATAATCCTAAGCCAGATGCACTTAGATAGATTTTGCTGTAATAAAATTATTTTAAATAGGAAAAAAATTGTTGCCCAAACCTGAATACTATTATAGCAATTGTATTCTTTTATCCAATGTTTTGTTATTGTTTTTTGTATTTTTAACAATCTTATTACAGGATAAATCACGGCTTACAGTACTACTTGCCGCGAATACAACCGGTTCACATAAACTTCGGCCCCTTGTTATTGGGCATTCGAAAAAACCATGAAGTTTTAATGATATAAGATTATCTCAACTTCCAGTAATATACGAAAATAACAAACGAGCATGGATGAGATCAGATGTTTGGGAGAGATGGTTGCGCTATATTAATACTGGCTTTCATATTCAAGATAGAAAGGTTTTACTTCTTGTAGACAATGCACCATCTCATAGTTCGCCTGAATCACCTAATGATACAAAAGAAAAAAATAGGATAATTAATATAGATGATTATGATGGTTGTCAATTAGATTTTGAAAATGAAGATTCAGTAAATGATTACTCTGATTCACAAATTGATGATGATAGGAATGATGAACAGCAAAATAATAATAAAAGTAAGTTAAAATAAATACTAATAACAAAAAAAAAAAAAATAAGGCTTCTTTGTAAACCAAAAAACTATTATAATATAATTTAAGAGCAATCACGTGAAAGACTACACGGAAGCAAAAGTGGAAGACCACGCGGAAGTGGAAGTGGAAGACCACATGGAAATGGAAGACCATGCAGAAGTGGAAGTGGAAGACCACGTGGAAGACCATGAATTTCTCATGCTGAAACTTCACGTCAACAAAATAAGAAAACGTCTTCTTCTAAAATATTAAAACTTTCAAATATTACCTTGCATTACCTTCCACCACATACAACTGTTCACATTCAGCCCATGGATGCTAGTATAATCAAATCATTTAAATCAAAATACAAGTGTCTATACTGTAAATATGTTCTCCAACAATTCGAATCTGGTGTCAATATAAAAGAGTTTGTAAAATATTATTGCACTGAAGCTGAAATTAATTGAAGTAAAATTTGCATCCTCTTCGAAAACATAAATTCCTTAAAACCTACTTACATTCTTTTGCATAAACATAATTCTTAATCCTAACCTAACCTTAATAATAAACCAAAAAATATAAGTGTCGTCAAAGAAAAACCTGTCATCAGGAAGTCCGATGACAGGTTTTCCTTTGACAACACTCATATATTTAAAGATTTGAATTCAACCATCCCTAATTCTCAGCTTTAACACACCTATTGGTTCCACTATTTTACTAACTTAGTTTTTTTCTTATAGAAAAAAACTAACTGTTAAAAAGGCAATTAATTTCATTATGGATTTATGAAATGGGGTAAGTGACACAATTATCCAAAATTGTTGGCTCAAGACAGGAATTCTTCTGAATGCAAATGAATCAGAAGTGGATACTATAGATCAGTATGTTGAAAGCGATACTTTATTAGATAATGATGAAATCAGTGAAATCATTACTAAGTTACCTGATGAGAGCCTGTATGCACCTGAGACGGCTCAGGCTGTAGCAACATATGTACAAGTAGTTGACGAACCCATTGCTACAGAAGAAATATTTAACGATGAAGAAATCATTGCTACAATTCAAGCCAAGGAAAATGAGAAAGGATCAACTGAACAGGAAATTGAAGATGAGGATGAGTTGCCTGAACCCCCCGTAACAGCTGCTGAAGTATATAATGCGATGCAAACCGTTATTCGTTATGAAGAACAAGAAAATTCAGAGTCAAATATTACACTGGAAGGATTAGGATTTTTAAGAAAATTGCTCAAAAAATATAAACGTATATATGAAAAGTCAAAAAAGCAATCAAAAATTACCAGTTTTTTTGATTTCCAAATTTCAAACCTCTACGATTCATTTACCTATGACCCATTCCCCCATGATCTCTATAATTCATTCCCCCATAACCCCTGTGATTCATATCTCTTAAATTTATATTCTCAAGACTATTCTCAAGATTCATACCTTCAAGAATTATATTCTTAGGACTCATGCCCTCAAAAATCATATTCTCAGGATTCATACCCTCAGGATTCACACTCTCAGGATTCTTATTCACAAGATTCACAAGATTCTACACAAGATCAGTATCTAGATGATTCGTCTTTTTCTTATTCTCAATATTCATATTTCTAGCTACAAAAAAAAAAAAAAAAAGAATATAAATAAATCTTTTGTGTTAACAATTTAAGCCATACATACTGTACAATTGTGATTTATGCTATTTGATAAAGTCGTAACTTGAAATAAAATAAATTAATTAAAATAAAATGAAGCATTAAAATAAAAAGTTAATATTGTATAACCTAGCTTTTGGAATCTGAAAAATAACCTGTTAGACTCTGTGAATGATTAAGCCCTGGTTGAAATTTAGAATAGTTTTAAGCAGCATATTTAGTAGCACTTCATCCTAGAATCCATGTTCTATTTTCTACGCTGAAGGTTCCTTTGATCTCTTGACTAGCTATAACAGATCTACCACACATAGAAGAATACGGTATGCAAATTAAAAGGTTAAATTTATTTTATAAATACCGCTGTATTACGACTGACCAGCTATAACAGATCTACCACACATAGAAGAATACGGTATGCAAATTAAAAGGTTAAATTTATTTTATAAATACCGCT